ATAACAACTAGAGAGGCTTTGTCCTTTGGATGGGGGTATGGAGAAGAAAAGCTTGCTCATGAGAGGCAGGATGACTATTTCAGCATTTTGACTTTATCATTAATTATTCATGACCTTGAGAGAACCACTTTGGACCTCACCTGAAGAAAGGTGAGATTTGGGCTAGTCAGTCTCTAAAATCCCTTACAGTAGTGATGTTCTAAGTTTTGCCCTTCTCTGGTTAAATACACTTAACTCCTTCTGTAACCATATGTACTCAATTAAAAAATTCCCAGTCCCTTGTCCCTTTCCAGATACTCCTCACTTTCCAATGGTTTAATCTTACGTGAAGCTCCAACATGAATTATTTCCACACTTTTATCTTCCTCTTCAGTTGGAAGGCCAAGAGCTGTGTACAGTACAGTCAAGAACACACAGGATTACCTCATGTTCTCTCTTATCCTATTGTTTTCCTTCTGGTCAGTGAACTTTTTAAGCACATAATAATTGTGTACTTCAAATGTATCCGTGTCTCTTGGAAGAATAAACATTGTTAAAATGTCTATACTGCCTAGAGCAATCTATACTTTTAATGCCATTCCGATCAAAATTCCACCGGTATTTTTCAAAGAGCTGGAGCAAATAATCCTAAAATTTGTATGGAATCAGAAGAGACCCTGAATTGCTAAGGAAATGTTGAAAAACAAAAATAAAACTGGCGACATCATGTTACCTGATTTCAAGATTTACTACAAAGTTGTGATCACCAAGACAGCATGGTACTGGCATAAAAACAGACACATAGACCAGTGGAACAGAGTAGAGAACCCAGATATGGACCATCAACTCTATGGTCAAATCATCTTCGACAAAGCAGGGAAAAATATACAGTGGAAAAAAGACAGTCTCTTCAATACATGGTACTGGGAAAATTGGACAGCTATATGTAGAAGAATGAAACTCGACCATTCTCTTACACCGTACACAAAGATAAACTCAAAATGGATAAAAGACCTCAATGTGAGGCAGGAATCCATCAAAATCCTAGAGAGAACATAGGCAGTAACCTCTTTGATATCAGCCACAGCAACTTCTTTCAAGATACGTCTCCAAAGGCAAAGGAAACAAAAGTGAAAATGAACTTTTGGGACTTCATCAAGATCAAAAGTTTCTGCACAGCAAAGGAAACAGTCAATAAAACAAAGAGGCAACCCACAGAATGGGAGAAGATATTTGCAAATGACAGTACAGACAAAAGGTTGATATCCAGGATCTATAAAGAACTTCTCAAACTCAACACACACAAAACAGATAATCATATCAAAAAATGGGCAGAAGATATGAACAGACACTTCTCCAATGAAGACATACAAATGGCTATCAGACACATGAAAAAATGTTCATTATCACTAGCCATCAGGGAGATTCAAATTAAAACCACATTGAGATACCATCTTACACCAGTTAGAATGGCCAAAATTAGCAAGACAGGAAACAACAAGTGTTGGAGAGGATGTGGAGAAAGGGGAACCCTCTTACACTGCTGGTGGGAATGCAAGTTGGTGCAGCCACTTTGGAGAACAGTGTGGAGATTCCTCAAGAAATTAAAAATAGAGCTTCCCTATGACCCTGCGATTGCACTACTGGGTATTTACCCCAAAGATACAGATGTAGTGAAAAGAAGGGCCATCTGTACCCCAATGTTTATAGCAGCAATGGCCACGGTCGCCAAACTGTGGAAAGAACCAAGATGCCCTTCAACGTATGAATGGATAAGGAAGATGTGGTCTGTATACACTATGGAGTATTATGCCTCCCTCAGAATGACCAATACCCAACTTTTGTAGCAACATGGACAGGACTGGAAGAGATTATGCTGAGTGAAATAAGTCAAGCATAGAGAGTCAATTATCATACAGTTTCACTTATTTGTGGAGCGTAACAAATAGCATGGAGGACATGGGGAGATGGAGAGGAGAAGGGAGTTGAGGGAAATTGGAAGGGGAGGTAAACCATAAGAGACTATGGACTCTGGAAAACAACCTGAGGGTTTTGAAGGGGTGGGGGGGTGGGAGGTTGGGGGAACCAGGTGGTGGGTATTTAGGGAGGGCATGGATTGCATGGAGCACTGGGTGTGGTGCAAAAACAATGAATACTATTACGCTGAAAAGAAAAAAAAAAAGTATCCGTGTCTCTCAAACCTTCACTGATTGAGATGAGGGTGAGCAGAGGTGACCATGCCCGAGTTTATACCTTCCTACCCCATTACACCACAGCTCATTTTACAGGACATAGTCATAATTTGAGCATGATTTCTAAAATACATTATTGAAATGATAAAACGTAGTATATAACCTATGTTTGGAATTAGAATAAATAATTTTTTCCTTGTGCTACTATCAACACTATAGCATTGGAAGTAAATATTCTGCTAATATTGAACCCAGTTGGCTTTTGTTTTCACCTGGGTAAAAACTGAGAAAGCCAGAAAACTCTGTAGTGTTATCCATATAAATCTACATTTGCACTGGGTATACCAAATGTGTCTTTTAAAGGTCTGCTTTGATTGCAAAATTTCAAAAATGTATATTACTCAATGGTGAGACATAAAATGAGCCATCAAAGTCAGCTTGTCTTGGGTCTTATGAGGCCAGATGTCACCATATATAAAGCTACCTGCTATAGTTTAACCCAGTGTGGTCACATTATATTACTCCCAAAAGTATTCCAGTGAATTGTGGAAAAGCTAGAGTCAAATATTAGCCAATATTTTTCACAATTTCCAGCACAGGAAGTCTTCAGGAATCCCATATATTCAAAAAGAGAAAATAATGTTATTTGAAACAAAGTGACAACATTATTAAGAACTTAAAGTAACTTGTAATTAAATAAGTGCCAATGAATGGAATTCACAAAGGGAGTATAGAGGAAGACTTTTCATTTTATACTTTATGGTGCATTTATGTTTATTACTTTTATTTGCATTTTTAAAATGAGATATTTAAAGATCCTTTTAATAAAAACTTTTTCTTTTATAAGGTAGCACTTTTAACCCACAGCTGGTACATTTTCTTCCAGCGTTTAAACCATAAAATATGCTTTGAGACAAATTTAACAATTTTGGTTACTGATAGTTGAATTGAAGGAAAAGACATTATTGTACAAATCTGAAAAGTTTGCCCTCAGCAGCTGTCAGAGAAGGAGGTTGGTAGAGAAGCATTTTCTCTTCTCCATTTGTATCAGTTTTTGCTGCACAATACAGCTCCCCCTAAATGAGTGGCAGTAGCCATTTGTTCCTATTCTGTGGATCAGCCATTTGGTTTGGCCTCAGCTGGGCAGTTCTATGGTCTGTGTCAGGTTTGGCCAACCTCAGCTGGACTAACAATGTGGCTGAGGTCAACCTTGAGGTTGGCTGGGAATGAGTTAATCTAGGCTGCTCTCTGTTGGAACCGTTGACCTCTGCTCTATGTAGCTCTTCCTCCAGTGACCAGCACAGCCTTATTCACCTTTGAGCTCAGCAGGATCCCAAGAGATGGACCAGGAGTGAGCAAGGTCCTTTGAGGACCCCTGACCAGCCTCATTTCTACTGCATTCTAGGTTAAAGCAACTTACAAGGCCAATGAGCTAAACTTCAGGGGATGGGGTAATAGATTGTGCCACTTGATGGAAGGAGTTGCCAAGTCACATTACACACATCCCTACTCTGTGGATGCCATTTTGCAAAAAGTCTACAATGCAAAATCCTTATGCTGTCCACATAATATGGGAGTAATCAATAGAGTCTCTCTTTATGGGAATCAAAAATATACATCACTTCTCTTAACATTTGCTAATATAATCTATTTTACTGGCAAGATATAGATAATTATTCAATGTAAAAATAGTACACTCTAGATCTAGATTTTTAATGCTAACAGTTTCTATTTACTGGCAACAAAGCATTTACTATGTGCCGGGCAGTGTCTCCAAACAGTGTCTAACCTATCACAAAAAGAGGTGGTTGTTAGGAGTGTGGAGTCGGGAGACTGACTTGGCTTAAATTCTGCTCTTACCACTTGTTAGCTATGTCACTTGGCAAAACAATTAGCCTTATTGCACTGCAGTTTCCTGTCTATGAGATGGGCGAATAATAATACATCTAAATTTTAAGGTTAACAAAAGGATTCAGTCTATTTTCAGTGCTGGTAACTGTACTCGGTGCCTGATGACAGCTTTCTAAGAACCAGCTATTATCACGGTCATGGCCATCGTCCCCCACTGTGACCCTGTGACGGCTAATTTTATGAGGCATGAATAATACAAACCCTATAGGTAGGTTCTGTTATTTTCTCCATTTTACAGATAAGAACACTGATGTTCGGAGAGCTTGACTAAAGTCACAGAGGCACAATGTGGCAGGACCCTTACTCAAGCTGGTTCTGGAGTCTGGGCTTTCCACGCTCTACAGCACACCACGGCTACACTGTAACAGTAGCTTCCACAATAGTGGCCTGCAGGCCCAGCACTGACGTGTTTTGTTCTTTCCCCCACCACTGTCAGCATTTCAGAGAAGGTTGCTTTTCCCTGTTCATTGCTTTTCACTTGAGCAGACATAAAAGGCAGCTGCATTGTAGTTGAACGAACTTCCACATGTGCTCAACTGAATGAGGCCAGAGGAGAAGGGAGCTGGTGTCTACTGAGCAACTTTCCCATGCCAGGTCCCAAGATACACACTTGGCAAACATCTCTTTTCATCTTCATAGATACCCCATTAGGTACCTATTGTCCTCATTCTATAGATGAGGAAGCCAGGGTTGAGCTCACCTCAGGCACGAAGGACAGGTCTGACGCCAAAGCTTTGGCCACTATGCTGAACTGCTAATTCAGTGTAAAGAAAGTCTATTGTGAATACTTTGTAAAGAGACTGTATAGTAATTGTTACCTGATTTGCTTGTTTTAGAAAGACAGAGGCTCTGACCTCTTCAAAGTGACCTCGTGCATGGTGTCACTCTGATGAGTTATTCTGTTCTCTTCCCTTCCAGAGGAGATCTGTACCCTAGTTATTGCTGAGACCTTCCCCGAGGATGCGGGGATCTTTACATGCTCAGCAAGAAATGACTATGGATCAGTAACCAGCACCGCCCAGCTGATTGTCACCTCAGGTATGTGAGGAGTATAAAAGTGGACTGGGTTCTGTTCCCTAGCACTCAGTGTGTGGTTCATCCCAGCACACAGAACTACCTTAGAGTAGAGCTCAGCCTTTAGGAATGCTTGCTGCCCCTCTAGGAGTTATCCTAACAACCAGCGTCTCCTCATGAAACAAAGGCTTTGGGGGAGGGAGAGTGGAAGTGGAGATGAAAAACAGCAAGATAATGACAGTGTAGCAGCGGAACACACATGGGGCTATTTTCTAAGGCATGTGACTTGGTCTTGGAAACAATGGATCTGGTTTCCTAACATCATGCTAACCCAGAATCATGCTGCCAGCAGAGAGCCCCTCTGCACCAGAGGAGCGGTCGCTGTTCTCAGCAGTGCCAGCTGAAGCACTGGGACTTGTACAAATAAGTCCTCGTTTAAGCCACGATGGAAACTTCTGAAAAAGTAATACAAGATAAACTAATGTAACTTGGAGAAGCCAAAAAAGCCTTAGAAATCAAATTTCATTGAAAATGGGATGTAACTCTGATATGAAAAACTAAAGCAGTATAAGCAATGTATTATACTATTAAAGCCAATATTCATAACTATTTGGATTTTTTTTTAAAGATTTTTTATTTACTTGAGAGAGAGCTTAATTTTGGGGGTGGGCAGAGGGAGAGAATCTCAAGCAGACTCCCCGCTGAGCAGGGAGCCTACTCTCAGGACCCTGAGATCATGACCTGAGCTGAAATCAAGAGTCAGACGTTTAACTGACTGAGCCACCCAGGCCCCACTGGAATTTTTTTTTTTTTTTTTAGCTCAGAAATGTACCACTAGCAAACACAACCTGAAACAGCTTTTTCCTTTATTTTCTTTTAACTTTAGTTGACTATTTTCTGCTATTACTAATTAGCTTTACTTGAGCTTACTTTTATTGACTCATCACTGTTATTTACTTGAGAATAGTTCTTAAAATAGTGCTTGGACCATTATGTGCCTGGCACATAATGCTTACAGTGGGGAATCAAGACATGGGATGGGCCGTGGCTGCATGAGACAGTCTTGGGGAGAACAACGGAACTGTACTTTCATCTCTCTGGGAGAGTGAGAAGTTGGTGCTAGGTGGCAGCAGAGGCACAAACAAGACTGGCTTAAGGACATTAGAATGGACATTGTAAATGCTTTTTCGTCTTAATTAAGAAAAGAAAGGTAAAGTTCCCTGGATTGCTGATATGAATTAGATGCTCTGGTGCCATGACTGGAGCTGAAGGGCAGCAAGGATCCCATGTTCAATTCAGAGGTGGCTTGAGACTGTCCCGTCAAATGGGCATCATGGTAGTGGGATGCTCCAACAATGCAGCCAAAACTCTGTGCTCTAAACATCGATGTGGCCAAGACTGGCATGCAGTATTTACCATTTTCATCTGGTGTACCTCTGCTGTGGGCCCGGCGTAATCAACAAGTAGTCTTTGAGTTTTCAGTTGACCTCAGTAAGCATTTTTTAGTACATTCCAGGAGCTCTGTTGGGCTCTGGGCAAGGTGAGGAATCCAGGGAAGACAGGATCTTATCTCAAGATGCTTTCAGTTTGTTGAGAATTAACGAGTCAGTTTCCTTTGTACCGAATTACAGCCATGACAGTTATCTGAATTGGAAAAACATTATAGATGAGATCATAAGACATTTTACTTAAGTTCAGAATTCTTTCTTAGATTTAAATAGAATGAATATCCATTGCCTACCCCATAAAGCGTGTATCCTTTGATCAGTGAGGCACAGGTGGGAGGTTCATTCGGATCCACGGGATGCAATGTGAGCAAATAAAGCATTATTGGTTGATACTGTGTGGTCATTTTTTTTTTTCTTTAAACCAACTTCTGTGTTTAGATCTTATGTGAAATTTTTTAATGAATTGGTAGCTGGTCTCTCTGTTTGTGGGCCCAATCAGGAAATGAAACAGGTAGAAACTAGTTTGGGACAACCAGACCTTTCAGCTGGCTTTGCTTGTGCATCATATGAGAGGGCAAAGAGTTCCCTTTTCTTTAACAACTTAAACTGTGTTTAACAAGAAGAGGGCACAAGGGATTCTCAGGTAGTCTCTGGCAGCATGAAAATAACAGTTGAACTATAACATCTTATTATTTTTTCTTCTCCCCCGCCTTCCTTAGCCAACACTGGAAACTGTAACTATGACTCAGTGGGAGAATCCAACAATGATCACTTCCAGCACTTTCCACCTCCCCCTCCAATCTTGGAGGCGAACTCCTTTGAGTTGGCATCAAAGAAACCGTCTGAGGTCCAGCAGGTGAACAGCCCTGAGTTAGGGCTCAATGTGGCAGCCCTTCAAATGCAGTTCAGTTCTGCTGAGCGGGAAACAAACGGAGTCCATCCCGGCCATGGAGTAAATGGACTGATTAATGGCAAAGCTAACAGTAATCAATCTCTTCCAACACCAGCTGTCCTACTTTCACCCACTAAGGAGCCACCACCTCTGCTTGCCAAGCCAAAACTGTGAGTACTTCTGCATGGTTTTATGATACTTTCCATACCCCTGCTAAATTGCCTTTCTGGCCAGGGAAAACCTGCCTGGGCTCAGCTGCATGTCAGGTTTTCTTTTCTGCGGGCAAGCCATCCCCGGTGGGTGTGACCTTGTTAACAAGGTGGGGGTGGGTGTCCTTCAAAAATATAAAAGATGCCTAGAAATAAAGAAGGAAAATGAGAAGCTTGGTTAAATCTACCCTTTGCTAAAGGCTCTAACTGGTTTCATCTGTACAAATACCTGTTCATGGTGTGGCCTTCCAATGTGTAGCAAGGATGTAGCCACTCCCCAGAGGTGATAGGAAAGGAGACCAACTTTGAGCTCGCTCTTAATGTTTTAAATATATGTCATATATCTAAATATTTTATATCTAAATGTTTTAAATATAAGAATAAATAAGATTTAACTGTATCTAAAGGTTTTAAATATAAGAATCAGTAGGGAAATCTGATAGAGATAATCCTGGGAAGACGGAAAGGCTGAGGATGGAAATTCAGTGTGCACAACCTGAGGAGGGCAGTGAAACCAGAGATAACCAGGCCCCTCAGGAAGAAGGGCGCCCCTCACCACACAGCCTACTTGGCTTTGGAATTCCATAGAACTACTTATTTCCATGAATACCACCTTCGTATTTGATACCCATTATTTTCTTAGGATGATAAACCTCACATGAGCTGTTTCCGTTGGCACCACACAGCCGGGAGTTGTTATGAATGGAACCATTACAATGTCAGAGCGCGGCAGAAATCAGTTAACTCAATAGGTTCTATCATAGCACAACAGACCTTGAATTACTGCCCTGACAGAGGTCGGTGGAGATGTCAGAGTCCTATAAAATGTATACATACTCCATGAGGTCACGTTTCCATGAGCATGAATTTGCCAGAATCTAGGAGTTATTGTTTCCCCAGGATTGAACAGCCTCCTCTCGTCTCTCTGTCATCAGCTTGTTTGTTAGAAATGTTAGAATGTGTAAGATATTTTCAATTAGAATATCTTGCATTTGTACGTCACTTTGTTTACTAAGGATTTCATGAGCCTGATTAGACTAATCAAATAAATCAGCCTCACGAATGTCTTCAGTTAGCGAATGGGCAGACAGTTTTAGAAGAATAAACTTTTGGACAATCTTGTGTTGCAGTTTCCAAATCTATCTCTTAATACCCTGCAGTTAATTTTGCGTATCAGTCAAGCTTGGTTTTCAGGCAGCGGGGCTCCTGGGTATGTATCCAGTGGTCTGAGAGATACCAGGTGAACACTGAACACCTGTGCCCAGCTCCACTGAGACACTTGGGCAGGTAAAACAAGCCGAGAAGTGGCAGCCTTACAAGACAATTATACCCTAGTAGCTCCAATCCATAAAATTAATTACCCCTGCTGACTCCTTTTAGCTTTGTATTTTGAATATGTATTTGTAGTGCTTTTATTGAAACGAGGGACCTGCTCTCCCCTCTCCCCGGGAGGACTTTTAATGATGAGGACTTGACTATGCTCTTGATTAATTGAAGTGTATCCACCAAAATGGCTGTCATAAATTGGATATAAATCACAGGAGAGCAAACACGAGGAGCTGTGAACAGGCATTTACGGCCCTTCTTATCTCGGGACTTTCAGCAGCTCGTCAGCTCATGGCTGTGCTTTGCGGAGATGCTAGTGTGTGTGTGATAGAGGCTGGGTGTGTCTGCAAAAGAGAACAGTTCTGTGTTTAATGAGGAGGAGGAGCTTCAGGGTACCTGGTGGCTGAGCCGGTTGAGCGTCTGACTCTTGATTTCGGCTCAGGTCATGATCTCAGGGCTGTGAGATCAAGCCCCCAAGTCAGCAGGCTCCTCGCTCAGCAGGAATCTGCTTGAGATTTTCTCTCTCCTCTCTTTGCATCTCCCCCAGCTTATGCTCCCACCCCGCACTCTCTCGCTCTCTCTCAAATAAATCAACCTTAAGAAAGAAAAAAAAGATGAGTAACTCAAGTACAAATTTAAAGAGTAACACTATGATTTTTAATACAATATAATATAAGGTAGAGGAAAAATGGACCTTGGTGTTTAATGTCCATATAAAGGGTTACTCCCTGCTTCATGAGAAAATTTAGGGAAAGGAAAAGCACCTAATTGCAAAATCTGGTAGCTCAGAAATAACATTACTTGTACCACTGTTTTACCACTGTTTTTTTTTTTCCAAGTCTTTATGTGCTTAAATATATCCGTAGAGCATCACTTAATTTTTTTTTATATTCTATTATTATCTGCTGTTTACTAGGTGGAAAATAAAATATGTGATGATGCTTTCAAAATACATATTTTAAAGTGTTCTTACTGGTTTGGTCTGATTTTCCACTCCTTTACTCTGTTCTCATGGTCTTTTCTGAAGAGGTTTTTCATTATTTTAAAAATGGTATCCATTGATAGAGGAGTGCTCTATCATTCCATGGAATGAAATCTGCAGTAATTCAGGATGGCCTTGAAGTTACGGACGAGGACCGCAGGCAACTGCCAGGTACAATTCTTACACGTGTCTATTTCTTTTCTGACGTTGGGGAGAAAATGAGATTTTGCCTCTTATTGTTGGCAGTGAAAAAGTATGCATTGCTCTAATCTTTCTGCATGAGCCTGTGATTTTATTCCCTTTCATGAAAGGAGAGGCTTATATTTGGGGAATTTATGATGTTTCATTCTTCTGAATCATTTGTAATCAAACAAATAGGAAACAATTAGGAGGGGGAAAATCATGGGAATTAAAACACTTACTCTTAGAATAAATTAACCCAAAAATCATATTTGACTTGTCAGATTCCTGAGGAAATATCTCTTTGCATTTTTTATCTCAATAGTTCCAATACTGATTGTGAGAAGAAAAAAAAAAAAATCAAAGACTAAAGTGGAAAGATAGAAATGTCATGAATTCTTTTCTTTAGCAAAGTCCGGCACTGATCCCTTGTAACCCAACTGAAGTCCTCACCAAGAGCCTTGCAGACCCTCCCAGACCTCCAGCTGAGTCTGCCCTACCTGCCTGAAGGCGAGTTTCCTGGCGTGGTGTCTTGTCCACATCCACTTCAGTTTCTGCATCTCTCAGTGTCTTTGTCTCAGATCCTGTCCGTCAACTATAAGTTTAACACAATTCAATATAGGCCATTCAGTAAGTGCCAGATGCTAGGCACCCTGGATTTGTGGCATAACTTTACCACTTGCCGTGGGAGCAAAAGTGCGCTTAGAACACTACCCAGGAAGAAAAATTCATAAATGAGAGTTATTTGTGTGGCTTAGTGTCTGATACTCAAAATCTTTTAGCACAGTGTGAAGAAAAGAAGCAACATGATGCTTGAGTCATATTTCTTATCAGAGAAAAAGAGAAAGGGATAAATATAAACCTAGCTTATGAACTATTTGTAACATTATTTTCCTTGTTTGGAGTGCACCAGATAAGTCTGTTGCCTCCCACTCTCTGCAAATTATGTCTGAAGATTCAAAATAAACAGAGCTCAGTTTGTTAATAGGAAACAAAATCCCCGCTTCTCTTTATTCCTGCCAAAACACAGTCCTTCAAAGGCATGGGATATGCATGGGATCCCCGGGAATAAACCCTGGAGGGAAACGTGGGAATGCCAAATGTAGTAGGTGATTCGCAAAGCATATAGGAAAGCATGGTCATGTTTTTCCCCTGAGCTCACCTCCCGAATTAGACCAAATAATATCTAAATAACATGCTGTTTTCAGATCTCATTTACTTCTTTGTTTTTTAATGTTCTTCCAATCTTATGGGAGGGAGGTAGAATATAAACCTGTGGAAGAAGCAGAATGAGAAGTCCAAAGGGTGTTTTCTGAAGGGTGACTCAACAGGCAAGTCCTTGCCCCCAAGAACAGGAGAAGTCAGCCGATAAGATGAAGCATGTTTGTCTCCGCCTAGTGCTGCTAATACACACTTGAGCCTGAAAGTCACTACCCTTTGACTAGAAGGATGATAATGAAAGGTTTTCAGAATTTTTAACACGCTTAATCAATAGCTAAGCTAGATAGAGATTTAAGTCTCCTTGCTCCTATTCTTACTGCTTTCTCCTCCCCTGGCCTCTAAAGAGAAAACAGCATCATCATATCCTATCTGAAAAGGGTAAAACGATTTTGGGCTAAATCAGGCTTTTTGAAATAGTGGCATTTCACTACCTGTGTTTCTGTCTTTGTCCCTTTTCTCAGTCCCACCCTTAGACACCTACTTGCTCCTGCTGTTCTTGTCCCAAGAGAGCGGGGCATGTCCTATAAACTCCTTCATAGGAAGGTCCTGGGATTCTGTGCATCCCGGCAGCGAGGTCGTGGACTGACAAAGTGAAGCCGCATCTTCGTAATAATAAGTGATGATAAGTGGTGTGTGCAGTCAGAGATCCGTCCTTTCACTGTGTGTGTGGGACTGTGGATGGTGTGTCGGAGAGATCGAAGAGGAGGAAAGAGCAGCCTGTATTTATCAGTGATGGAACTGTGTCTGGCTTGCTATATTTGGAATTTCCTTAAGGTTTCCTCCACATTTCAAGCACAAGTTGTTCCCTTGTTGGAATGTTCTACTCCCCAGAATGTTCTGCTACTAATAGTGGCTCCTTCTTGCTTTCGACTCCCAGCTGCATGTACCACCTCCCCTGACCATCCGACCTAAAGCTAGTTCTCCAGCTATTCTCCAATAAATCATCCTCTTTAGTGACCGCATAACATGGAACTCTTTCTCATAGCTTCCTATTGACTTCTTGTTAGTGTGTGCCCTGCTTTTGCCCCACTATTATAATACAAGCCTTTTTTTTTTTTTTTTTAAAGATTTTATTTATTTATTTGTTAGAGCGCGAGCACAGGCTGACAGAGTGGTAGGCAGAGGCAGAGGGAGAAGCAGGCTCCCGCCGAGCAAGGAGCCCGATGTGGGACTCGATCCCAGGATGCTGGGATCATGACCTGAGCCGAAGGCAGCCACTTAACCAACTGAGCCACCCAGGAGTCCCTAATAC